AAAAAAAAAAAAAAAAAAAAAAAAAAAAAAAAAAAGTGAAGCTTTTTTGTGGTACATAAAGAGGATCTACTTAAATTTTTAAGGCAAATGTGGGATTTCAACAGAATTTCCTTGGTTGGTTTGCTTTAGGCTCTGGACGTGTGTGGGTTCTCTTCTGCCATTTCCGGTACTCTAGAGTAGAGTTTGATCAACTTTCCAACCTGTTGCTTTCGGAGTCTGTGGTACATGGAGCAGAGATGGAATAAAAATTAAGTTGTCTTCTGATCACTGTGAAGGAATTTGCCCACGTGCTCTGTCATGAAACAGGAAATTAGATTTGTGCGTTTCGAAGGTAGGGTTGGGATTGGTCAAGCAAATTGTAATGACTTTTTGGAGAGAATCGGAGTCGGAGATGGCTGGATTGGTCATCCTGAATGCAGCCTGGTTTGGGCTCTTTGTCTTCTAGAAGAATCTACTCACCTCAGTGGAAAACATATAGATGTCGGGAGCTTCATTTTGCTTTTTTGCCAGTTTTACTTTCAGTCAATTCATCTGAGCAACAGAGACCTCAGTTCAATGACAGCACTTTTGGGAAGAAAACTAGTGTGCTTGCTTCTGTTTCTCTAAGCAGCTCATCAGCCTACTAAAATAATATTTTCACTGCTCTGGCCCTCCCAGTCCTTCAGCATTTTTTATTGTTAAGTTGAATTTGTTGAAACTACTATTAAATACAGCAGTACTGTTTTTCATAGACATAGAAGTGAGTCACTTTCACATGAGTTCATTTAATGTTCATAATAAGCTGCGAAGTAGGGGTCACGTTTCCTTCATTTTCTAGATTAAACTGAGCCTCAGAGAGTCATAGAGGTCTGGAAGTGGTGGGCATGTGGCCTGAATGCAGTTCTCCAGTTGGTTTTGTGAGAACATGCAAAACACATCACACCTTTGGCTTCAGGCCTGGCATTCAGTATCCCCAGGCCTCTTCTCTTCCTTCACCTTCCTGCTCAGGTAGAAAGCACCAAGGCCTCAGCTGAGCATATCTGGGGTGTTGCTCTTGTGAGGATAGGTTACTGCTCTCATCATGGTTGTGACCTTGGGGTTTCAACAGAAAAAGTCCCTCTTTTTCATATTTGACTAAGAGACGTGCATATGCTGTTGCTAATATCACTATCATTATTAGAGTAATAAATATTAATAGTAGCTATCAATAATAGTAGCTACTATTCAGTACTTACTATGTGATAGGTGCTTTTTTAAATTTTTTTTGCGGTATGCAGGCCTCTCACTGTTGTGGCCTCTCCGGTTGCGGAGCACAGGCTCCGGACGCGCAGGCTCGGCGGCCATGGCTCACGCGCCCAGCTGCTCCGCGGCATGTGGGATCTTCCCGGACCGGGGCATGAACCCGTGCCCCCTGCATCGGCAGGCGGACTCTCAACCACTGC